CCTAGTAGCTTCTTGTTCCTAGTAGTGAGGCCAGGAGCCCCTAGTAGCGTCCTTGCTCCTAGTAGCGATGCCAGGAGCCAGGAGCCCCTAGTAGTTCCTAGTCGTAAGGTCAGGAGGCCCTAGTAGCGTCCTTGCGATGCCAGAAGGGCCTAGTAGCTTCTTGTTCCTAGTAGTGAGGCCAGGAGCCCCTAGACGCTTGCTCCTAGTACTGTAGCGATGCCAGGAGCCCCTACAAGCTTCTTGTTCCTACTAGTAAGGTAGGAGGCCCTAGTCGCGTCCTTGCTCCTGGTAGCGATGCCATGTGCTTTCTGATCATTTATCCCTCTATCATTTGACTCTTTCGATTCCTCTCTCGCGCGCACTCATCGAGAACAAGGCACTCCCACATCTCCTCCAAGGTTGTCCTGCGGAGCTCCTTCAACCTCATGTCGATAGGCCGTCGCGCTGTGTCCCTACCAAGTGTGTGCGGCGCATTTGGGAAGGTCAAGGGGTGTGTGTGTGTGTGTGACCCCTCTGGAGTCACGAGGTTCCTTTTCACCTTTTTTGCTGTTCTTTTAGCAGGGGGCTCGTGGACGCATGGACTTGAGCTTTTGGCCCCTTCTCCTTTTGAAGACCTCGAGGCTCCATAGGGTTTTCTTGGACTGTTCAGGATTTGGGAACCCAGAGTCGCGAGGTTCCTTTGGACTGTTTAGCAGGGGGCTCGTGGACGCATGGATGGCACGGGCCAACGAAGACCCATCCGTGTCATCGTGATACCAGACCTGCTCAATCTGGCGTACCTGCTTGAAGGTCTAATGAGTTCGGCAGTCATGCACGATACGCCGTCAATTGTCGTCTCGATTTCGACTTGAGCTTTTGGCCCCTTCTCCTTTTGAAGACCTCGAGGTTCCATAGGGATTTCTTGGTCTGTTCAGGATTTGGGAACCCAGGTTGGCGTGTGGCAACCGCTTTCAAGTCAGTACGCATAATCTTGAGTGTGTGTGTGTGTGTAACCCTTGGAATCACAGGGAACCCTCGGGTTTGGAGCAGGGGGCTGGAGTGTGCTTCAGATGTCTCCAGCCAACGAAGACGCACCTGTTGCACTGTGATATAGTTCTGGGACGCCAGAACTACGTACCTGCCTGATTTTAACTTTTCCTGAGATGAGTCGTTAAGGGCTAGTTGCATTCTGCAGACGTGCACGTCACGTCGTCACCACCCTGTCGCTTCGACCTTGACGTGCGCGTTTGGCCCCACTTCCTCTTGAAGACCTCCAGGGTCCGATGGTTCTTTCTTATACTCTTAGGAATCGCCTCCTTTCCGGGCAGGATGGAGGCCACACATGCCTCCCTTCGGGGAGGCGTGTGTGTGTAATCCTTGGAATCACAGAGAACCCTCGGGTTTGGAGCAGGGGGCTGGAGTGTGCTTCAGATGTCTCCAGCCAACGAAAACGCATCTGTTGCACTGTGATATAGTTCTGGGACGCCAGAACTACGTACCTGCCTGATTTTAACTTTTCCTGAGATGAGTCGTAAAGGGCTAGTTGCATTCTGCAGACGTGCACGTCACATCGTCACCACCCTGTCGCTTCGACCTCGACTTGCGCGTTTGGCCCCACTTCCTCTTGAAGACCTCCAGGATCTGATGGTTCTTTCTTATACTCTTAGGAATTGGTACCCTAGGCCGGCGTGTGGCACCGCTTTCAGCCACACTACATGCGGATATCACGGCTGATCACCGTGATGTACCGTGATGTACCTGCTCAATTTGCGAGTGTTAATAGTCCATCCTCCTCTAGACTTCAGGCTGGTTATAGGTGGAGACAGGTCTGCACACTCTGCACGTGCCGTCGTTCGCTCTTCGAGTTGAAACCTGTGGAAGTCTTCGGAACGAGCCGTTTCCTGCACTCGTTTTGCCCAGGAACTATTTTCACCTAGGCTTCCGTGTGGCGTGTGGTATTCAGACGTATCCCAAGTGTGTGTGTGTGTGTGTCAAGGAATCAAAGTCAGGGTGGCCACCAAAAGAAGCATGGGACGCAGGCAAGTACACTATGGCAAGTTCCTGATGTGTGGTGTTCAGTGGATGTTCTGCTTAAGATTTGCCTTTTCGGGAGCAAGTTAATCTTTTGATGTCCGTTGCGGAGTGCATTGTTTCCAATAGCCTTTGGTGCCGACAGTGCCTTTGGCTGCTTTGGGAGTGCCTCACCGATTGAAATCTCGCGTGTGAGTCGTCGTCTCGGAATGCTCTCCAGGCCACAGTTCCTTCAACTTCTCCAGCTCCTCCATCAACTTGGCAGCGCGCTCCTCAGTCAACGTCCACATCTTCATCTTGAGCAGGTATCCGTAGCCATCCTAAGCTATTCTTTTGGCAGTTTTGCAAATCACTGTGTTTCACGCAACCATTTCTTGGTTGAGTATCACCGGACTGCTCCATTGTCCGAAACATGTTGAAAATGGGATCGCATGGGCAATATCAGGCAATATCTTGGCATGCTCATTGGGCTGGCTCTCACAGTTGAAATCTGTAGACATGACATACCTGCAATTGATTTTAGTGTTGCCTCTACAACCTTGAAGTCTGGAGTCCAAGGCCATGTTTCGCAAATCCACGGAATACAGCCGAAGCTGTTGAATCAAAACTCTAAAAAACTGTGCCCAACTACACCCCGAATGGTGCGGAAGCCGAGGCGCCGGTCCGAACAAGTCCAAGTCTTGGTCGGGCACCGGAATCACGGCCCTGGGACCGACACCGACGATGACCGAGGGCCGCCCTGAGCAACCCCACCCAGGCCCACTCATCTCCACAAGTCCTTCCGACTGGATCAGCAAACCATGAAAACAACCTTCATCCTCCCACTGCCCTGCACCCTGCGCTCGCTTGGCTCGGTGCCTCAACCTCTTTCGTTTTGGCTCTGGACTTCTCAGCTCAACATCCCCTTGCTCGATCTGATGCTTGGTCCGGAAGCCCAAGCGCTGCAACTCTGCACACACCTGTGACAGCCGCATCGGTGCTTGGCATCGAGCGGAGCCCAGCTGGGCAGCCGAAGGCTGGGCACAATCCGTTGCAGTAAGCAGGGGTTGCAGCTTATCCTGCATTCCTGAGCAAGTTGAGTAGATATAGATACCAAGCCTTTTAACAATGCACCAATCTGGCACCAAAACGACCTACAAAGATTACGGAAAGAGTTCCTCCCTACTTGCAGTGACCAAGTCAGACCTCCTAGCCTTGCTCCATGCAAACCCGACCCAAAAGTGGGTTGTTTGGGGCGTCCCGGTCGTCCATCGCGACCTGCTGCGCCGGGCGGTTTTCCACTTCCAGCTCTCCTTCCGCCACCATTCCTGGGGCGAAGGTCCAGAAAAAGCAGGTGCGGATGAACTGGGATGCTGAATATGTATATAATACATGTCTCGGAGGGCTTTCTGCGGGTGCATTCTGCAAGAGCAAGACTTCTAAAAATTACCAACATCTGCAAACCGGACTCTTGGGCTACATGAGCCCATAGCTCAGATGTTTCAGAAAGGCGCCCCGAAACCCTGGCATGGCAACAGTGAAAGAAGGCGTCGTGTTTTGGGGCTGCCCGGAGACAGCTTGAGACACTCGACCGGAACGTCTGGAACGACCAGACATGTCAGCCTCGCGTCGGATGAATTTGGCCTTCTCACTCATGTAGGCCGCCTCCTTTTGAATCTGACGAATCCGGTGCTCCTTTCTCTGCTGGTACCTGACCCCAGACCGGAGAGGTGTTTTGGTCGGGTCCCATCAGCGCATAGCGGAGCAGTCAGCTAACACAACAGCCCAAGGGACACTTGCAGCCTCACAACAGCAAACTCCTCTAGGATCTCCTCAGGTGAGTCATACTTCTTCAACTTCCCCTTTGCATCGAAGAGGAACATGTTGGAGGTCGAGATCCTTAAGGACATTACTCGTGGAAAAACATCTCCCAAAAAAAGGCACACACATGCAAAAACACCATACAAATCCTGGCGCAGGCTTTTGCATACAGGCATACCTGACGTCCCTCACCTCATGCTGTGCTGACTTGCACGGTGACGGCGGCAAAGACTCTCACTAGGCATGGCACCAAGATTTCAAGTGCATGGCCTTCTCAAAGCCTTTCTCTTCAGCAGTGGCCACCTTTTCTGGGAGCATGCTCAGGCTGAAGTGGACCGTGTTGTCTGTATGATGCTCCTTAGCTGAGCCATGACAAAAACATACAAAAACCCTAAATAAGTACCGAATATGTACTTCAGCGCATCGGTCTTGCAGCTTGCAAAGCGGTGCAATGGGCAGGAGGGAATTGCAGCCACAAGTTTGGTGAGAGGGGCGGGTCCACGAAGCAGTCGTTTCCCAAAAGCCCGGTCACCACTCACCTCTTCGCACGCGAGTCAGAGCTGCCAAGGCGCTCGAAACTCAGAGATCATGGCTCGCTTGCCTTGGGACCGCTCCAGTTCGAGCCAGCTCAGCTGGCGATCGTTCACCAAAGCGGTTGGAGCTGCTTGGCCGAGATCCAAGACACGGAGCGAATGGCGGAGTCACTGGCCCGTTCGGTGCGGTTCGGGGGCACTTCCGATCTATGACAACCACTACACCCAAAGTCCGTCTGACCAAAGGCGATGAAGCACGAAAAACACTTGCAGGTGAGGTGCCATTGTTCTCATGCATCTGCTCCATGATCCATTCCTTGTAGTCTTGTGTCCACCTTGGATTGTGGTACCATACTTGGTTTGGAGATGTTTGGAGGGGCTACAGCATCAAACTATGACTGCTCTCCATTCTGCATATAGTTGTATTTGCACATATACACCTAAAGCACCAGCATGTACTTGTACAGTATGTCATATACCATAGCGCGCCCTCCCACAAAAATATCGACCCATCCGTATCCGAACCACCAGGACGTGCCTTCGGACTGGCAACTCGGTCACCTCGATCTTGGTCAGGCCTCGCCTCTGTATCACACCAATGGTCCTTGGAATGGGTCGAACGTCCATTCTCGTCGTAATCCGGACAGGCGGAAAAGGGGAAAAACGGCGGCCTCGCATCGGGGTTGACCCGTAACAAGAATCCTTATGTTTTGTCCCATTCTGGAAACGCCTGACTTGCCGGGGTCTTTGTGGCGGCAGCCAGCACGATGACCCTTTGAAGTGTGAAGTTGGTTTGGGCTCGGCAGTCTTCCATATGCTCTGGCCCGGCTTGCTGGGTCAAAGAACCGTCCAAAAGAATTGCTCAAGACAAGTGGCTGCTCACCACCCTGGCGACCCCACACCACCCTGGCCGCCCAGCGGCTCAAAGCGTCCCTCGTGCTCCGCCACGCGCGCCACGGTGCCGCGGAAGCCGCGGTACCAGGGCACGAGCCGCTCCCCTCGCGGTTGCCCACGGAGGCGCCGCCGGAGGTGGGCGATGAGGTCGCGGGGGTTGTAATTCCTCGGGCGCGGCGCCGTGAGGTCCACCGGCCCCAACGAAGGCCCCCGTGGCGTCTGAGTGACTGGCCTGATGTGGTGGACTTCGGGCTGAAGAGGCGAGCGATCATGGAGATTCCAACTTACCACGAGCGATCATGGGGCCAAGTCCCTACGCAACAGCAACAGACCAGCAGGAGCAGCCCAGCGGCAGCAGACCAGCAGCAGACCAGCAGCAGCAGAGCAGCAGCAGCAGCAGCAGACCAGCAGCAGACCAGCAGCAGCGGCAGCAGACCAGCAGCAGCAGCAGCAGACCAGCAGCAGCAGACCAGCAGCAGCAGCAGCAGCAGCAGACCAGCAGCAGCAGCAGCAAGCGGCAGTTTGTTACCCTTTACTGTTAGAAGCGGCGGTTGTTATCACTTCACTGTCAGAAGTGGGCACCAGCACCAGCACCGTGCACCGGCACGCCAGCTCACGGCGCCCAGCACCAGCTCTCTCCACCACGCGCACAGCCAGCTCACAGCACCCAGCACCAACACCACAGCAAGCACCAGCGCCCGGCACCGGCCCACCGGCACCCAGCACCCTGTCTCCCGCGCACAGCCAGCACCCAGCACCGGCACCGGCACCCTGTTTCCACCACGTGCACAGCCAGCTCACAGCACCAGCACCAGCACCGGCACCGGCGCTCGGCACCCAGCACCAGCACCCTGTCTCCACCAGATCACAGCACCAGCACCAGCACCGCGCAAGCAGCGCTCTCATTGTTATGGAAAAGCTTAAGCAACAGTTCCGTCAGCGCAGGTACGCCAGGATGGCCAATCCTGGTATCCTATGTTCAGACTAGCTTCGTTGGGCGTAGTCATCTGAACACGCTACGCCCCCCTGCTTGAGAAAATGCAACTAAAAAACGAAAGGGGAGGACCGTTAGAAACAGGGCTTGACACACACACACACACACACATGGCCGTTTTCGGCGCAGATGTGTTTTGGTTTCCACGATGGCTTTCATTTTCCGCAGAAAACGCTGGCATTCTGTGGCGTTGTGTCCCTTTAGGACATAGAGTCGCACGAGTTCGTCGGCCGCTGCAGCTGCTGTTGTTGGTGGGTGGCTGTAAGTGTAAATGGCGTGTAGGCCAGAGGCAAGGCCTGACAAAGCAAGGCGCTGGCTTCCTGCGCCGGTTTCGACGGATCGCCGAAAAAGTTGTGGTGGATCAAGGTTTGTATGGCTGGATGGGAGAGGAAGTGTTCGTTGTGGACAATGAAGCGGTTGTCGACATAGCGGTAGTAAGAGAAGTGTAGTGCTGAGTGGTGGAGAAGGTTGTTGTGTAGCTGGTGCCAGGAGTGTTCGATCAGGGCGACGGCGACGTTGCATAGGGCAGGAGAGAGCTGGGAGCCAATCCCAGCCCCTCGGATTTGCTTGTAGGTGTTGTTACATGCCCGGAAAATACATGTGTTGAGTGTGAAGGTGACAATAGTCGTGATGTCTGAGGTGTGGAGTGTGCGTTGTGCGGGATGCTTGGAATGGTGTCGGCCGACATGGGAGTGGTGAAAGGGATTGCCGGTGGCTTTTGTGTCGACTGTCAGGGTATGAGTCGACTGCTGGGTTTGCCATTGTTGGATCATGGAATGGACGGCATCGAGGATGATGTCAAGCGCTCGACTGGTGATGCGGAGGAGGTTGCCGGCCATGGAGTGGTAGTAAGTGTGGTAGTGTGTAGGTTGGGATTTTGAAGTTGCCCTGGAGGAGTGGTAGTGGAGTGTCGTTCACGGGAACGTGAGCGGTCACGGTGGAGAAGGTGGTGGATGAGGCGAGGTTGTGGAGGGGGAGAAGAAGGCCGGTATGTGAGTGGCAGGAGTGGTGTTGAGAGGAAATTGCTGGCTGTGGGTGGAAAACTGGCGGTTGGATGGCAAAGTCATCGGGCCACAGGTCACTTAAATCAACTCAAAAATACATATCGATGAACAACTGAAATCCACTCCCCATCGACAAAGGGGTTGTGGCTATCCTTGCGTTCCGTGACGAAGTTGCAGATGGGAAGCCCAAGCCACCAAAAGGGTGGCCCAAGGGGCAGAAGAGGGGCATTAAGAGCTCACCTGCCGCTGCATCGAGCTCACCTGCACCTGCCGCTGCATCGAGCTCACCAAAATGCAACAGTGTCTCGCTATCAAGTTTGGAGGCCATCTCTACTAGGTTTGGAGGCCATCGCTATTGTGTTTGGAGGCCATCGCTATCAAGTTTGGAAGCCAACGCTATCAAGTTTGGAGGCCAACGCTACTAGGTTTGGAGGCCATCGCTATCAAGTTTGGAGGCCAACGCTATCAAGTTTGGAGGCCAACGCTACTAGGTT